TTAAATACTTGTATCTTTAAATAACGTTAAAATAAAAAAAAAAAAAAAAATGTCTTTAATAAATAAATTGTTGGACCTTGTCCATTTTTTTATATATATATATATATATATATATATATATATATATATATATATATATATATATATATGTATGTAAAAGTTTTTATATATTTTAGGTATGCTTTTTTTTTTTTTTTTTTTTTTTTTTCAGTGTCAACAATGTGTATAAATAGAATACAGAGTCCAGGTAAATTTTTGTTTGCGTCAATATTAAATCATTAATACTTTTCCTGCTAAGCTGACATCCATCAATTAGGATGAAAGAACTTAATTGGGTGACTTTTGTATCAGTCCTTATTTCCATTTTTTTGTTCTGATTAAAAATAGAATCCAGAATAGAATAGAGCTTATTTCAACTATCCTATTATAATTGTACTTGTCCTTTCTTTTAATAGCTTGCATGTCTGTTATCCACTGCCAATATCTCCTAAATAATGGACTATTCTGGTTTGATTGCATAGAAAGAGGAGGAGGAGAAAAGCCATGATTTGGTTTCAGTGAGAAAATGGAAAAAAGAAAGATAGACGTGGGATAACAGAATCTGATTATGCCGATAAGAACAGATACTAAACATTAATTTTAGCCAAGAAGCCATGGTGACTGTTAAAACTGCCATTTTTCAGACACACTTTATTAAAGATAAAAACCAAGTAAGTTACCATAAAATCCTCTGCTGAATTATGAGAAATGCAAGGGAGATAATTCAGTGTTTATCTGAAAATTGTTTAGGATTTAAAATCAAGTTTAATTTTTTTGAAAATTTTTTATTTTTTTTAATTTTTATTTACAATTGAATAGAGCCTTGAAAATGTATCTACTTCTATTCGACCATAGTAGAATTTCAGTTAAAACTGTTTTAAAACCAATCCAAGGTAAGTACATTTACACTTACCCAACGAAATAGAGCTTCCTCAGTGGAGTTGTCCATCCCATTTTATCACGTACTTTATTAAGAATATGTTCTCCATAACGAAACTGGATTTCACAGGGTTTACCAACAAGTTTGGTGTATTTCAACTCTGTACCAGTAATTTTCTGAAATCACCAAAGGGTTAAATAAAATCTTCAAAAATAATTGTAAAAAATTAAGATTTTGAACAAAAAAACAAAATTATCAAATAGTTACTCTAATTTTTCTTTATTTACTATTTATGGAAAAAATTATTTCAATGAAAATGTCATAGAAATCTCGAGTTGTAAATATCTACGTGCATGATTTCATTTGTAGTGATAGAGAAATAAATATATAAATTAAAAGACCTAAATTTCACCATCTTGAAAAACATTGATAATCAGAATTGCTAGGCCACAAAGCCATAGTTTAACCAACTAATTAGGAAACTTTCATAACTAAGATATAAGGCCACAAGCCAATGAGCCAAAGCAGTATTTTCAAAGCATATCTATAGATGTGTATATAACCAGATGAAAACACAAGGATATTCTCTGATTATGTAGTCATTGTAACATAACCAGACCCTAAATGTGACTTTTGCATGACCAGCTGGCTATAGTGGCTATACATATAAGAAAATACATCCTTTCTTTCTCCACTTTTTAAGCAAATGACTACTATATTTGGATAATAATAACTGGCCACTCATATTTGAGAATACCCATCTAATAGGGCTGCTAGCCAATCCCTATTGCAGGATATCGCTCAGGCACATTTGTGTTTGTTCAACACCCACAGAACTCACCTGTGGTTTATACTGCAACTATGCTGACCAGAACTTAGAGTTTCTGGGAGAGAGCGTGTTATCTGAACAATGCCAGCACGCTCAAACCCTCAGTCATGATGACTTGTGACTTCGTGCTAGCACAGCTATCGATGACCCCCAAGTGTTCCATCTACCTAATTTTAGTCACGAGGCTTGGGTCAACCCATGGTATGATTTTCAGGCACTTTCCAAAGGTGCCGCACGCCGAGTTCATCCCGCTCTAGACCAATAACATCAGGAAGTCTCCTTCTTAATAAATCAACCATGGTGAGATTTGAACCCAGGTCTCAAGGTCAGAAAGCAAAAGTTCTAACCACTCAGTCACGCACACATAATGATATTTGGACACATACATTCTTACATATACATTTACTTCTTGAAATTTCGACTTTCATCTCCTCCTGTTTTATTATATTGTGTTATTTATATTTATTTTGTATTTATCAACACATCACCTTTTCTCTTAATCATTACACAAGGCTAATATACACCCAAACCAAATATATATATATATATATATATATATATGGTGGGAACAGATGTTGTCATAAAATAATCTTTACAACTCATCCATAACTGATAACCTTCTTCCTAACTACCATACATTTATTACCACTTTAGTATTAAAAAAAACTTAATCTTTTTAATAATGTCCAATTTTTTCTTATTTTATTGCTACATTAAGCGGTGCCAAGGGCAGTTAATAATCTCAGTGTCAG